TGTTTTATTCAGTAATTTTCTAAAATGTCTATTGTTTATAGTAATATTGGTAATTTAAGTACCCAAACCAAAATCGCAAGCTTTATAAAAGCTTGCAAAAATCTTGTCGCAACTTGCACATAAAGCTTGCGGAAAGCTTAAAATTGGAACCTCGCGGCAAGCTTGCCGCAAGCTTGCGGGAAGCTTGCAGCCTGTTTTCAAAAATGCAATGCATGCTTTAGATTTGAAAGGCACCACAAGCTTGCGACAAGCTAGTTGCAAGCTTGCGACAAGCTAGTTGCAAGCTTGCTTAATTTAATGCTAAATATCTTAGCTCTAGCTCTTTGAGTTCTTTAAGAAGATTTTTTAAGTTTTTACTATATGCATATAGGAAAAATCAATGACCCCCTGGGGCGGGGCCAATTTTGACCCCAGGGCTTTTATTTGAACAAACTTGGTAGACACCCATAAGAAGATGTTTCATGCTAAACATCTAAGCTCTAACTCATTGGGCTTTTTAAAAAGAAGATTTTTTTAAGTTTTTACTATACACATATAGTTAAAAACAATGACACCCCTGGGGCGGGGCCAGTTTTGACCCCAGGGCTTTTATTTGAACAAACTCTGTAGACACTCACTAGAAGATGTTTTATGCTTAATATCTAAACTCTAGCTATTTGGGTTTTTTCAAAGAGGATTTTTTAAGTTTTTTGCTTTACACATAATTATAAGGAAAATCAATGACCCCGGGGCAGGGCCAATTTTGACCCAAGGGCTTTTATTTAAACAAACTTGGTAGACACCTATTAGAACATATTTGATGCTAAATATCTTAGCTCTAGCTCTCTGAGTTATTTAAATGAAGATTTTTTAAGTTTTTACTATATGCATATATAAGGAAAATTAATGATCCCCCGGGGCGGGGCCAATTTTGACCCCAGGGCTTTTTATTTGAACAAACTTGGTAGACACTCATTAGAACATGTTTCATGCTAAATATCTTAGCTCTAGCTATATGGGTTCTTTAAAAGAAGATTTTTTAAGTTTTTACTATATGCATATAGGGAAAATCAATGACCCCCTGGGGCGGGGCCAATTTTAACCCCAGGGCTTTTATTTGAACAAACTTGGTAGACACTCACTAGAAGATGTTTTATATGCCAAATATCTAAGCTCTAGCTCTTAGGGTTTTTTAAAAGAAGATATTTAAAGTTTTTTCTTTCGGTTGCCATGGCAACCAGAGTTCTGCATGGAATTAAATTCTTTGAACAATTTTTAAAGGTGACCACCAAAGGAACATTCCTGTGAAGTTGGGGATGAAATTGGCCTAGTGGTTTATGAGGAGATGTCATTTAAAGTAAAAGTTTACGGACGCCGGACGGATGCCGGACGGACGCCGGACGAAAAGCGATCACAAAAGCTCACCCTGTCACTTTGCAACAGGTGAGCTAAAAATTGGCGTAGCAGTTTATGATGAAATGTAAAAGTGTACGGATGGATGCCGGACAAAAGGTGATAACAAAAAGCTCAACATGTCACATTGCCATAGGTGTGCTAAAAACAAAACAGTCTATAGTCCATTCTTATTTATGCTACCTAAGTTACCCCATTTGATACACCCCTTTTTATTATAGATTTCTTATTTGCAGTCAAGTTTTTTAGCTGCTACATTTGAAACATGAAAGTTATGAAAACTGTATTAGCTTTATTAGCCAAAATACAATGAATACTCTAGGAAACTAGGCTTTTTGATCACTCACCCTGGATCAATTGCTAGAAAAGTCAAAATTAAGGTCATTCGGTCATATTAAAAAATATCCCAAGAATAATATCTGTAAAGTTTGGTCAAAATCTTCCTTAAAAAAAGTTGGTTAAAACGGCTACAATACAAAATGCTGTCACAAACATTCAACTCTGAGTGCTCTATGCTCAGTTGAGTTAAAAACAAGAAGGTTTAACATTATAGAGGCATGATTTATAGGTCCTCAGTCAAGTCACATTCCTATTTAAGTCAAAGTTATAAATTAAATCATAAAACTGAAGCATGGCTCTATTTGACCCATTATTATGATTTTCATATCTCAGCCAATGTTTCTGTCTACATAATGCTATACTTATTACCATGTACCTTTATGTTTGGTCATTCATTTCCAAGGGGCATGATTTCAATTACTTAAATAGATACCTACAAGGAGTGGGGTTGGCTACAAAACTGTAAAACTACAAGTCAGGGCATGTTAGTTTCTTGTGAGATTTTAACATTGCTCATCTGAAAAGTTTTAGCTCATGGGAACTTTATTCTTCAAGACTACTTCTTATCAACATATCTATTTTATATTTTCATATTATCATTGTTTATCATTAAAACGTCTCATTTAAGAATAAATGTTAAATACTTGTAATAGTTTTTATATATCTAGAAGGTACATATAGTATTATTTGAATAATACCATTATGTGAAACTTGTGCTTATCTTAGGCTACTCATGCAAACAACCTTAATCATTTTAAGGACTCTAGTAAAAGACCACCCACTGATAACTCCTTTTTTGTGAAAACAGATCAGATGTTGATTAAAGAACATATGGAAGATGTTTGGCATCACATTTGCTTAGTAATGAAGCAATAGGCAAGTTTTACTCTGATGAGTTAATAAGACTATTATAAGTACTTGGCCTGAAAGTGGGGGTGGCTGTCTTAAACGTTTCAAATCTTAAAGATGTGAGGAAGTACAAAATCTATCCAAATGTCGAAAAAGTGTCATTTTTTGTCAAAATCCAAGACAGAGTTATGTCAACTTACCTAGCAGTTGGGATAATAGCAGACCTGGGGTAACCATTAATTGTAATCATTGATTTTTAATTGATTACATGATTACAATGTAATAATCATGTAATTGATTACCTTACCCAAATTTGATTAATTTAATTGTAATTAATCAATTACAGCTAAAATTTAGTCAGTAATTGTGATTACAATTTGATTGACATTGATTACTTTTGGATTTAACAAGAAACTATTTTAATTCAAATAATGTCTTTATTTCACATTATACAGTTTAACTTTTGTTTTACATTTATACATTAAAAGCCCTTGATTAAGACCATCATCTACAGTACAGATAACGAGGAATATGCAAATTTCTCCGAGTATCAAGTAATCTCAAAAAGCGTGACTCTGAGTGGATTATAAATTTCTTGTACACAAAAGAGTGACTCGGCGTCGATAACGAGTGACAATTAGGTCATGAATCGTGAATCTCCGAGCCAAAAAGAGTGACTCCGAGTAATGGTTTGCTAGATATTTATTCATTTATTAATATATTTGTATGCTCTATCTCTAAACTAATATCATTGAACGCATGTATTATTCATTCAAAATAAAAATGTTGTCGAATATTCTTCGTTCATGATGTAAAGTATCTCAAGTGAAAACAAAAGTAGACAACTTGATTCATTAATATCAAAAGGAAAGATTATGACCGATGATTTCCCACACCGATAAGTGTCATATTTATCAGTTCATAAACATGTAAACATACCGCGAGGTCAGTGTATTAGACTGTGTCACTGTTCATATCAATTTTTCATTCAGGGGGGGAGTTACGATCTAAACCAGTCAATGACCCACAAAAAAGTAGACTGTGTCGCTGTGTTTTGAGATAAGAAGTGATAAAACAAAAGTTCCAAATGTGTACTTTTCCATTCTTAAAATAGAAAATGCTAAATTTAGACTGGAGATTCCAAGTCATACTTTTCGTAATTTGAGCCAATCGTGATTTTCTTGAGCCAATTTAATTATATTGGAGCCAATTTGCTAATTGGCTCCTGCCAGCGTGAGCCCTGATGGTAAATTGAAAACAACAACCGTAACAAGAGCTGTCGGTAGGACAGCAACGCTCGACTATTCTTAGTGCTTGATAGTAAAAAAAGCCTTGATTAAAAGGTAAAATTTTCTAAGTAATGCAATAGGCAAAATTTTTCTTTAAATCCATATTACAGTTATAGGCCTTGGAGAGAGTCCTATTATGCTCTCAAAGAAGAGTATAAAATTTCAACATGTTTCAAAGCCTTATGTCAATGAATTTTGAAAATATTTTAGGTATTACAAAAACTTTAACGTAAATTCTAAGTCGAAAAAGGGGCATAATTCTGTCAAAATGCTTGATAGAGTTACCTCCTCCTGTCTACATGTTGGGGTCATGATGGTGAACAAGTGTGCAAAGTTTCAAAGCCATATGTCAATGGACTTTAAAAATATTTGAGGTATTACAAAAACTTTAACAGAAATTGTAAGTCGAAAAAGGGACATAATTCTGTCAAAATGCTTGATAGAGTTACCTCCTCCTGTCTACAGGTTGGAGTAATGATGGTGAACAAGTGTGCAAAGTTTCAAAGCCATATGTCAATGGACTTTAAAAATATTTGAGGTTTTACAAAAACTTTAACAGAAATTGTAAGTCGAAAAAGGGGCATAATTCTGTCAAAATGCTTGATAGAGTTACCTCCTCCTGTCTACATGTTGGGGTCATGATGGTAAACAAGTGTGCAAAGTTTCAAAGCCATATGTCAATGGACTTTAAAAATATTTGAGGTATTACAAAAACTTTAACAGAAATTGTAAGTCGAAAAAGGGGCATAATTCTGTCAAAATGCTTGATAGAGTTACCTCCTCCTGTCTACAGGTTGGGGTAATGATGGTGAACAAGTGTGCAAAGTTTAAAAGCCATATGTCTATGCCTCTATGGACTTTGAAAATATTTAAACTATTACAAAAACTTTAACATAAGTGGTTACGCCGACGCTCGGGTGACTACAATAGCTCTACTTATTCTTATCGAATAGTCAAACTAAAAATCATCTTTATTTTCGAATCGTAATATAAAATGAAATGTAAAATGAGATTGCACTTTCATTTATTTACACCAGCTAGACACCGACATGGAGTTATGCCGTAATTCTCTCTCGGAGTCACGCGCTCTTATTTTCGTCTGGGAGTCACTCTCATCACACGTTTCTCACGCGGAGTCACTCGTTTTTATGGACAAATACTCTGGCGGAGTTGCGAGTGGATTCCTCGATCCTCTGAGGATTTTGCATATTCCTCGTTATCTGTACTGTATCTTAAATCATTATAAGTTAACTCCATAAAGATTTCAAACTGACACAATTCATTATTTACACTTACATCTTGAAGTTTCTTCACTGCTATCTGGGCATCTGATCGGTGTAATAGCTCTTTACCATCTTGTAAAACTGCTATCATATCGTCAATATATGAATTGGCCTCACTTTCTTCTAATTCCATGCTGCTTGAGTGGAAAATATTATTTCTATACTGACGTACCTATTGAATAGAGAACACAGGTTCAATATTGTTCTATGCATATATATATATATACTGTTAAGCAATCAAAATTGTTTTGTTGAAACTTGTTTAGGTAATTACCTTCATAAAAGATGCAATCATAAATTATACCAGGCCTTTTTTCTTACATGTATATATTTATTGCAAATTTGGGGAAATTGTGTCTAAGACTTAGTTGTGAAATTTATTATTTGGGAAAAAATATGCCAGCATATAAGATGTGCAAACTCTTCAAACAAAGCTAAATAAAATATTATTACTGAAACTGATAAGGATTTAAAAGATATCCGAAACATGATCAAGAACGTCCACACCAAATACAAAAAATGTTGCCTCTTTTCAAATCACCGACTTTGGGATATTGATTTTTTGGGATTGGGAAAAAGAAGACAAAGTTTGCATTGGGAATGGACCCATGGGATAGGGGAAAATAGGCCTGTACACAAATAGTTCTATATACAAATCTACAATTGTACATGTTTACAGTAAATATTAACCACAAGCCTTGTGAATTGTTACAACAAATTTTGAAATAAAAACGATTGGTGGATTTTTATACATTTGTTGTGAATCTTTAAAGTGGTGAATTACTTCATTACCTTCATAGTAAAATTTACATTTTCTCTTTTACTTACTGAATTATACAATTATTATAACATTACAATAGAGCTGATAAAAGATAAGTAAAACATATTTTATAAATGATTTACCTTTGAAAAAAGGTTGTTTGTTCCTGTGACATTGCATCCAATGTGGCTATGAAAATACTGGTTATTTATCATTAGATGTAATAACCCAGTGCAATCAGTTTCACCAGCAGATTGTTTCTGCTCGTACCCTGGAGCATTTATAAAACACTTACAAATGCTCCAAGGGTGTGTCGACCACTGTTGAGCATCGCTGTTTTTCCAGTTAGGTGAAGGTGGTGAGGATGAATGATGCTGCACAATAAAATCATAGATGGCGCCACATATGTTGTTCGGACAAGCAATTTTTCCCTTAAAGCAACAGTTGCATTTTACTTGCCCAAGAGGACAAACTTTGTTTCCAGCATTCCCAGGTACTGGCTTATGGTCTGGCTTGAGAGTTTCAACTCGACAGCTGCCACACGTCACAGTTGATGGTAGTGACTTTGTAGTCCTGATGTTTTGTAAGATATCCTTATGTTGTTGGTCAGCTATGTCATTACAGAATGGTACCAGTCCCTCCTTTAAATATCCAAGTCCTAAACCAGCTTTTACCCACTGTCTGTATTTTTCCTTCTCTAAATGAAGTTGATGTGCCATCCTGATACTCTATCAATATCTAAACAAACAAAACATCAAATAATTAATGTTTACATTTTATATAAATAAGTAATTATGGTCTTGGATTGCAATTCAAAGTCCAAAATACTGGGTAAATATGATATATGTTCCTAAAAAAATCAATTACAGGGAGAAAAAAATAGAGTAGAGATGTTATCAATCAGTATTTTTGTATTGATATATCAGTAACGAATTATCGGCGATACAGCGATATATCAATTGCCAGGCAATATTTAGCTTTCAAAATTTTTTAATATTCCATAAGGACACTGACGACTCTATGCTGTTATAATTAAACATATGCATATTGTAAAGAAACCATGATACCAGGTTTTCAATTATCATTGTAGATAAATATGTTGTATTTGAAATACAAATACAAGCAACAAACAATGTAACTATGTGCAATGTAAAACATGAATAATGTAGGAGGAATTGCGCACAGAAGAAGTGTTCACTATATATATTCTGTATAAGGAAAAAAATCAAAGGGCCATAATTAGGTAAAAAATTATCCAATCACAAAACCCCGACAATATGTGCTAGGGCACTTGATGACAAAGCTTCTGTGAAAGTTTGAACAAAATCCGTTGAGAAATGTAGGACGAGTTCAGCACAGAAGACTTTGTTCAATTCTGTATAAGGAAAAAAAACAAAGGGCCATATAATAAGGTCAAATATAATCCAATCACAAAACCCTGACAATATGCGCCAGGGCACTTGATGACAAAGCTTCTGTGAAAGTTTGGTCAAAATCCGTTGAGAAATGTAGGAGAAGTTGTGCACTGTAGAAATTGTTCACTATATATTCTATATAATGAAAAAAAACAAAGGGCCATAATTAGGTCAAATATATACCAATTGCAAAACCCTGACAATATGTGTCAGGGCACTTGATGACAAAGCTTCTGAGAAAGTTTGGTCAAAATCCGTTGAGAAATGTAGGAGGAGTTGCGCACAGAAGAAATTGTTCACTATATATTCTATATAAGGAAAAAAAACAAAGGGCCATAATTAGGTCAAATATTATCTAATCGCAAAACCCCGACAATATGCGCCAGGGCACTTGATGACAAAGCTTCTGTGAAAGTTTGGTCAAAATCCGTTGAGAAATGTAGGAGGAGTTGCGCACAGAAGAAATTGTTTACGGACGCCCGCCCGCCCGTCTGCCCGCCCGCCCGCCGACATACCTCAATCTAATAACCAGTTTTTTCCTTCGGAAAACCTGGTTAAAAAAGATAAATAAGCTATGAAAACTGCACAATTTGTTTATTTCTTTTATCATATAACTATAAAAGACAACTAATGACTAGTAACTATAAAGTTTAAAGCATTTTCCATTCTAATTTAAGTGTTGTTGTTGCAATTACGAAGTTACAGATTAAGTTAAATCCCGTCCTTGCTGTTCAAAATATACCGGGGTTTAATAAGCAAATTATAGTGTTTAGAACCTGAATAATTATTAAAGTTTAACATTTTATAATCATAATTTAATTCATACAAAGAAACACTGACACAATTTTTCTTGGCGCATTCCCTTTTTAAAATCTGAATTGAGGGGTCTTAACACCCACTTAGCAGACGTGCGAGCTTACAAAGAAATTCGGCAGTATTTGTTAGAGACATGGGGAGGTAATTTGGTGTGATTTTCATTTTCATTTTGGAAAAAAAAATGTTTGAAAACATTGGACATCACAGGCGCTAGTCACTTTATCAAATATTTTACATAATCAGCATATATTATATATATGTATATTAAGATAATAGTATATACTTAGTATATAGCCCATATAAAACATAAAAAAGTTTGTTTCAAGCACCTGTGGTTGGCATTCAATACCCGATATTTAAAAAATTGAAATCCATTGTAAACATGTGACCATATAAATGATTTACAAATATTTATTAATTGAACAAACATCAGGGCCAAAAACCCTTCTTTGTAGAGGCGGAATATAGGGTGCTTCCCCAACCAAACTAGCCTCTTTTTTCCCCCAGTTTGGTCCTCAAAATTCCCCAGTCTTGAAATTTCCCATAGAATTTAGAACAAAATTAAATGATGGTGTTGAATTAAGGTCTTTTACTGCCTTATTAGTATTTCCCAGTGCTTTATGCTTTTCCATTTTTGAAGAACTTGCTAAAAGTTTGTGTTAAATTTGAGATCCCTTTTCCCAAAGTATGTCAAAATCATGCATATTTTCCCCAATATAAAGGCTGAGGCCCTTTCCCCAAAAATGATGTTTTGGCCCTGAACATTATTTTTTATCCAGTTTCCACTCCTCCATTTGATATGTTCTATAATAAGTTATTTCCGCACACATGCAGTACATGTAACTGCGTGACACACAGAAAATCCCTTCCCTGGTTAGTGGTTATTTATGTAATTACTTTTTTATTTATGAACCAAATTAAACAATATATTGAATATAAAATCATTTTATTATTATAAAACACCGTATCAAGAAAAGTAAATAAAAAAAATAATCAATTTATAAAATATAAGTCATATTCGGTATCTTCTGTCCGCTACAGATATGACTTTTATGAATCCCGGACAATCCCCCTCCCGGACGATTCCCCTTCCATATTATTTACACAACCCGGACATTTCCCCTCCCGTTATTTTAATAGGGCGGACTTTTCCCCTCCCGTTAATTTAGCAGAGCGGACAATTCCCCTCCCATTTTTTAGCAGAGCAGACAATTCCCCTCCCGTTTTTTCACATTGCGTAAAAAAAATCTATAACCATTCTTATTAAAGATGACAGTTTTTACTCTTAACAATAAACTGTTAAAGATCGGAACTTTTAACAATCATTATTTCACAAAAGTGACATTATACCGCCTTTAATCATTGCCGCCGCTGCTTAAGATAAACAAACTGTCAATAAAAAATCTTTAATCATTGCCGCCCTTAATTAAATGTGTCCTTGATTGCAAAACCAATTAAAAATGAAGGAGAATATTCCGACAAATGTGTTCAATCATATATAAAAATCAAAATGATCACTGATATTTGTGTTAGGACTTCCTGTACTGATTCAATATGGTGAATATGATTTTCTAATCATAATGACGATAATGACAGTTCAATTTACTATAACATGTGCATAATATATTCTTTGCAAGAATCTACAGCTTAATTGTTTTTTGTTCTTATCAAATTGTTCTTTTTATTGTTTTGCCGCTGCAAAAATGTATATACCTTTCAAATAAACAATATTATATAATAATTATATATATTCAATAGCCACGGGAGGGAAATTGTCCGCTCTGACAACAGCGGGAGGGGAATTGTCCGGGTTGTTAAAAGAACGGAAGGGGAATTGTCCGGGTTGATAAAAGAACAGGAGGGGAATTGTCCGCCGTAAAAAAATAACGGGAGGGGAAATGTCCGGGTTGTGAAAAAACATTCAAATTTACTGGGAGGGGAATCGTCCGGGAGGGGAATTGTCCGGATAACGACTTTTATAGAACGTAATTCAAATATAACTTATATTTTTTTTTTATTTATGGACCAAATTTAACGATATTTTGCATGTAAAATCATTTTAGTATTATAAAACTTCATATCAAGAAAATATAATAAAAAAATAATTACTTTGTAAAATATAAGTCATATTTATAAAGTCATATCTGAGGATATGAATCATCTCCGGTATTAAGACATACCGCATATTACCTGGCAATCCGCGGCATTTGGAAACGGTTGATTCAGTACATGGGTTAACGTGAAGAACAGAAGGTACCGAATATGACTTATAGTTCATAAAGTTTTTTCTTCATATGATATTTTATAATAATAAAATGAAATTACATGCCAAAAATGGTTAAATTTGATACTGTAATAAAAATGTTACATGTTATATTCGTTGCATGTTCTAATTTAAATAAAAGTCATATCCGTAGCAGAAAGTAGATACCGAATATGACTTTTTACAGTATTGGACACGCGAAACCCGCACAATTCTCGTATTCGCGGCGAACCCTCATGCTTTATAACGCGAATAAATTCGCGGCAACTTGAGACAAATTCCGCGAATTCAACTCGCGGCGAATTCAACTCGCGGCGATTTTGCCGTGAACATTTGCCGTGATTCGCCAGGAATAATACATGTTACTTTGAATAAAAAATGTATTTTGCACTCTATGAACTTGAAACCATTTGTATATTTTAGATGATATACATGATTGAATGAAAATTAATTAGTAGATCTACATAATGTTGTATCATGAAAATCTTGTATTTTTTTGTAATTAAATTATTTTATTGTCGACCAATCAACTTGCATCTTGCTACTCATCATCTACTCATCTCATGCACCTGGCATTTTTTACTCGTGAAATTGAAAGTAAAGAAAGTCTCAATTTAAGTGATAAAACATTTACAATTTTCAACAATTATAATTAGTGTACGGTATTAGACATATTATTGTTCTAAAAATAGAATATGTGCGAAAGTTAACAATGGATTTTAATTACATTTGTATTATTATCAAAGTAACAATTGGACAATTTGTTATCGTGCGTTCTTTGATGTAGTTCCAATTACATTTTGTAATTTTAATCTCGTTTTATTGTTAACTAATTTTCATCCAGCACCTGATTACTTTGTTTTCGAATACAAAATTTATACGTTGTACACTGTACATGTTCAATTGATAAATACTAATAAATATACATGACATTTACAAGATTTTTTTCCAAGTTTTTACTTTATGTATATAGTGAAAATTAAAGACCCCCGGGCAGGACCAAGTAGTACTTTCTAATACAAATATTGCTGTAGATTGGCCGTAAATTACTGCGATACATCGCGGCGATTTTTCGTAAACCGTCATGAAATTTTTTGAACTTGCAAGCGGCAATGTTGTACAGCATAATGTCCCGTCACGACATAGACTACACTCACGGCATAACGCGACTTTTGCTGGTTTCGCGTGTCCAGTACTGTAAGTTACATATATTGCACGCTTTGTATAAAAGTCATATCCGTGGCGGATTGAAGATAC